GGGGGGGGGGGGGGGAGGAGTATGGGGATGTGGGTGAATAGACTGATGGGTGGATGGACAGAAATTTCCCCAGAGGCAGTCAAGCATTGCAACAGGTTGTAGGATCTCTGGAGGTTTTCAAGACTGAGCTGGATAAAGCCTTGAGCCTGTTGTCTGAATTTCCTGTTGACCATGCTTTGAGTAAGAGTTTGAGGTCCTTTCTGACCTGAATTATTTTAAATATAAGTCAAAGTCTGGTCATAAATAAGCATAAGTGAAAAAAATAAGTTGGTAGCTGTCCTGGTTTGAGTGGGTGGCAGGGGTTTTGGTAGCAGGGGAGCGGGCTACAGCAGTGGCCTCTGTGAGAAGCTTCTCAAAAATCCTGTGGCTCCAAGGCAGACCTGCCTCTGCACCAAGGCCGAGCCAGTTAGCAATGGTGGCCGCACCTCTGCGATAATGTATTTAAACAGGAGAACCTGGAAGGGGAAGTTGGAGTTGTGAGGAGGTGTTATGAGGGGGACACCTATGCAAACACTGAGGTCAGTGGAAGAAAGGAGAAGTGGGGGGGAGAGTGCCAGAGCAGAGGTTCCCCTGCAGCCCATGATGAGACAGCAGGGCTGCCTCCGCCCCCCTGCCACCCATGGAGGTCTACAGTGGAGCAGAGACTGACCTACAGCCCATGGAGGGACCTACACTGAAGCAGGTGACTGTGTCTGAAGAAGGCCAAGACACACTGGGAAGCCCCTGCTGTTGTAGTTCGGCACTGGGAGGATTGTAACACACAGGGGTGACCCACGTGCCTGTAGGGAGGGAACTGATGTGGGTTTGTGGAGGACCGTCTCCTGTAAGAGAGGGACCACGCTGGAACAGAGAAGGAATGCCAGAAGTTCCCCTTCCTTGAGGTGTAAGAAGCAGCAGGACTGACCATACCTCCCATTCCCTGCCTCTGGGCTGCTGGAGGAGAGGTGGAGAAATTGGCAGCAAAGCTGAGAAAAGGAAGAAGGGAGGGATGGGGGAAAGTGTTTTCAATATGTGGTAATGCTTCTCATGGCCCTACTCTGTTAAGTATTGTCATTGTTAGCCTTTATGTTCTTTTTTAAATTATTCTAACGAGTCTGTCTTGCCTGTGCCTTAAAGGATGAGATCATCCCTCTTTGTCCTTACCTCAAGTTCCTGGATCTTTTGTTTCCCTCCTTCTCAGCACTGGGGAAAAAGGGGGAGTGAGTGGCATCTTTGCTTATTTTCTCCTTCTCAGTGCTGAGGGGAAAGGGGAAAGTGAGCAGCTGTGTGGTGCTCAGTTGCCCTCTGAGCTCAAACCCAGACAGTAGCTGTGATTGTTAATACGTGTGGTTTTTACTAATAATTATGTTTCCAATTATAATTGTGCATACCGACATTCTGCAGTGTTCTCTGTGGTGCTAGGAAATCCCTTGTGATGGATTCTGACAATGCTGAGATGGCACAAGCAACCCAGTAAATAAGGACATGAGACGGGATGGTGTGACTCGCTGTCATTCTGACTGCTGATGAATAACAAACCATTTACTTATGAGTGGTGTGAAGGCTGAACTATCTCAGTGTGCTGTTCCTTCCTTCCCATTCATATTGACCAACTGAGATACTCATATTGCCTCAGGGAAAATGCTACAGGTTACACTGTGTGGACACTAGGGAATCTGCACCCCAAAGGTGCAGAGGTGAGCCAACATCAGTCATAGAGGAGGTTAAGACTTAGGCAATCAACACTAACTGATAGACTCAAGAAGTAATGTCATGTTTGAATTTGTATGAGCAATCTTATCTCTGAGAAAAGAATGAGAGGCAAACGTTATTTTCAGCTTCTTATAGTTTTGTTAGAACTTCTAAAATTTAAAGGTAATATCTTACTAGAAAATAGTGGAAAGTGAAGAGAGCAGAAAGCATAAGTTGGTTTATTTTCATTTTAGTTACAAATACCTGCTAGGGCTAAAGGTTTCCCCAAATAAGTCCAAAATTGTATTATCTTTTTGTCATGTATGTGTAATAGCAGGAACTTTAGTAAACTTAAGTAATTAGTAAGTAAAATTTGTTAGGAAACTTTTAAAAGGGGAGAAAATGTAAATATAGATGATAGTATTTTGTGAAAGTAGTGTTATAGGTAGTAAAGTAAGTTTTCCTCATTAATAATAAAAAAAGGTTGCATAGTAAGAAAACATCTTGACTAAATCATGCATTCTTTGTGGACCTCAGATAGAAGGAAGCATTTAAGAATTAGAAATAGGTCAGATCACTATGAATGAGAATATATGTTTATTATGAGCCTATTAACACAAAATCAGAAACACCAAGATACAAAACAGGATGCAGGAGAAGGACCAAAAGAAATGTTTGTCTGTTGCTCAATGGAGAGGAAGAACTGTCAGGAGGTGACCCTAGGAATGCTGGCTGTGGGTAGTGTTTTGGGCAGCTTTTTGTACTTGTTGGCATGTGTGTTGTGGGGGGACTTATCTGTTCACTACAAATACCATTGCAGACAGGTGATAGTTACAACTAACCACAATTAATGCTGGTAGCAAAAACATTCAGCTTCAACAAATTGTGGAGTAATAGGTAAAACAACTGAGTGCTGATCAGGTAAGCTAGAAAACTTTTCAGATTAGCTGATTCAGATTAATTTAAATTGTATTCTATTTAAAGATTTGCCTGCTGTTCTCCGAGTTCTCAAATATAAATGAGAATAAGATAGTGGAAAAAGAGCTGTGAGGAAGAAGGAAAGGAACACAAATAGCCAAGACACCATAATCTGCTTAATTTCTGTTTCTGGAAAAATATGGGAACAAATAATTTAAAACCACTTAAAAGAAAAAAGAGGACATGAGTAACAGCTAGTGTATGCTGTTCAAGGGAAAACCATGCCAGACAAGTTCAATTTCCTTATAAAATGAAGTACTGGCCTTCTGAGCAGAGGAATAGTCTGTATTGTATATTTGGATTTTAGTAAGGCTATTTCACATGGCCCATGCTGAGAAAGGTAGGTCTAGATGAAAATATATAGTAGGTGCAGTCTTATTCAAAACTCTCAGTCTCTGTAGAGTAACTGTTAAAGGTTTACTATCAAATAGAAGGATACATGTAGTGGACTCAAGGGGAGTTTGTGCTGGGTCTGGTATTATTTGGTATTGTTGTGGGTGTTGGAATAAAGCGGTGTGATTCAAATGCAAAATATAATTGGAAGAATAGAGAATGATGAAAAAAAGACTATTCTGTTTAATATGGACAATACAGTATGCTTATACAAGAATAATTAAATGTACAAATAAAGACTAAGAAACATGGCTAGAGAACAGGTTTGAAAGATAAGCTGTCACACTAACTTCACAAATGAACATAACTCAGCAATATCACTATGCCACTAAAAAACAAATACCATCTCCAGATTATATATGAGAATATATCCTTAAAAGTACCTGAAGTAATCTTATCATGCAAATCAAATCAAGTGATGTAAGGCCTTGTAAGAAATGTGTGCCAATCAGGAAAATTCCAAATGGTGGTGAAGAGAATTATTAGGGTTCTATAAAATTTTATCTATGAGGAAAAAAATGAGAAGAGAAGGCTTAACGATATAGTGGAGTAATTATAAATGTTTTCAAGTCTGTAAAAGGCTAGGACAGAAAAAGAAGAGTTTAAACTGCAATGGAAAAAATATAATGTAGCAGGTATAAATTTTCCACAGGTGAGGTTAGTGAAGTACTGAAGTACAGTGAGTAGGAATTACTGAGTCTTTGAGGCTTTTAAGGTTGTATTAAGACAAACATCTGTCAGCAGCGGTACAGGTATAGTTAATTGTGCCTTGGAGCAGGCATTAACTCAAGTATTTCATAGTTGAATGACTTATAAAATAGATTGTGGTTGATCATTTCAGTAATGTACAGAGAAACTTTTAGACAGGAAGACATTAACCTGTAAGTGCAATTACGTTAATGTTTCTGTTCTTAGCATGAATACACATGAATCATGGATTAGGGACCACAGCTTTCCTTCCCAGGTGTTTGCATCCCCTAGTGACTTTTATTTGGTGAAGTTACCAAGTCAAGAGCTTAGTACCCTTTCATACTGTTAGTCTTCTGTTCCTCTAATCACCCTCATAACTGTGCTACTACTAATTCAGCTTTGAGAGCTAATGAGAGAACAGACCAATCTCTGAGCCTGACAAAATGGAACTAATTTTTTTTCCATTTCTGCTGGAAAAATGTGACTTGGGCACATCCTAGTGATTCTAGGATTTCTGTTTTCACAGTCATGGCTTGAAATTGCTATTCAGTGTATTAGTATATACTGGATGTTTTTCTTCCACTGTTATATGGTGATAACAGGTATTTTTTTTGTTGATGTTTTTCCAAAATTATGTAATGTACTGCTGGGTACTGTCTTATTTCTATTACTGATGTCTTCAAGGTAATTCAGTTCCTCTGTGGGGATGTGCAGAATCTCTTCTGTATTGACAGTGTCTCCCAGCTCCTGCACCTTTTTTGGTGTTACTTATGAAAACTTTAATGCGTTCTGAGAGAGTTTACATGTTGAAAATATACTTGAAGAAAGAAAAGCCCTAGGATTGCAGACAAAAGAATGAAGAGAGGAGGCAGTAGTCAAGGGTAAAGCATCTCATGGTTGATCCTGGCAAACTGTGATGTTTCTGTGAAAGGGGAAGCCTAAGTGTTATACACATTTTTGTGTTGTTTATTATTAAACTATGGGACAGTTAGTAAAGTGTTATTACTATTCTACTGTAAAACAGGAATGTCTAGCTACAATGTTATTAGAACAGTGCCATTCACCTTTCATTCAAAATGCAGAGGTGAATCCATTGACAGAGCAGCCCTAGATGCTGTTACACTGTTGAGATGTATCTTCAAAGCTGAGTTTGTTAGGGGAACATTGCCATGGGTGAGGAGTTATCCTGAGTTAGAGGACAGCTTTCATGAGCAGATGAAAAACTGAGAAAGGATGGTCCTGTGACTGAGATGAGCTCTTACGAGCATAGAACAGATCAAGGGACCATCCAGACAAGAAGTGATCTATCTCCAGAAGTGCTCCATAAATTAATACCCAAGGAAAAGGAGATGAAAGGAATAGAAGGAAAAGGGTAATAAAACATGTATGAAACTTCTCAATACATACATCACTTAGCCACCAGTTATTTTCAAGTCAGTGAATTTTCCTAATCCTGATATGTTTTGTCTTTTTGGTAAATGTCAGTGGATTTAGTTTGTCTGTTTTCTAAGTACTTCTTTAGTTTCACCTTGAACTCATGAGAATGTCTTATGCCTACAGAATCTTTTGGCAGAGAGTTCCCAGGTTTTCTACCCAGATTCTTAATGGGACATATCTTCCAAATCATGATAAAACCATTTTATAGGTTAACTGGCAAACATTTCTGATGGCTGCTATAGGAGGTGTATGTAACTTGGAAAACCTTAAGGACATCAGCATTTTTTGAAGAGTCCACCGTCTCACCGAGTTGTTTTGTTTTAAACCTGTGGGATCACTGGAATTATACAATTGAGGTATTTGGCCTTCATACTTAGGTTTTAGAAGTGCTGAGCACCCATAAATCCAAATGAAAGGAAGTCACTACAGCGTTAGTGTCTTTACATCTCTTAAATTAGGTTATAAAAAGTATGGTTGATCTTGGATTCTGGAGTGTGATTATAAGAGAGAACTTTTTTTCATTGTAACTAGAACATCTTCAAAAGTTGATCATTACTATGCAGTAAAAATGGAAACCACACAACAACCATAGTCATACTGTACCTTAATCTCCTTTTGTCTCGATTTGCACACCAATAAAATTATTATAATAAGGATTGCTTACCCTGTAATTAAAGAACAGGTTTGTCTGTCAGTGTATGTTCTGGTAGCTTTGGAAAAGTGCAACCTGGAATTTTTATATTTCCTGGGTTTCAAACATTCACTGCTGTTG